AGTCAAATAAAACATAAAAAAAAAATAATGTAATGTTTTATTACACAAACAATGTTTGAAATTTCTCTTTTTGTTGAAATTTAAAAATCAACTAGCCAATAATAATTACTCTGTCGAAAAGTTTGCTTGAAAGATTTATTTATAAAATTGGTTGTTTTACTTTGATTTGAATCCCACTTGTGCCTGCCAGCAATATGGTAACCATCAATCGATCGGAAATGGTCCATTACTGAAGTGTTGCAGCATGAATTTGTACATTATACTGTAACTGTTATACAGATAGCCGAGGTCATATTCATTTGACCAGCTCATAATAATAACAGTGTGATAATTTTAGAACTAAGACGATTAACCGTGTCCGTCTGAACTTTTTTAAGTTATAATATATTCATTGTCGTCGCATAAATTAGGATTTTGTCAGGGTAATAAAATGACAATCTTAGGCCGTCGGGTCAACTCTGTAGTATCACGGCGTATGAAGCGTAGTAAAAAATTAACCAAAAGAAAAAAATCAAGTCATAAAAGTATATGTATACCAAAACCGGTTTGTTCAGAAGAACTGCCCTACGGGTCAATCGCTTCTTACTGGTCTGCTGATTTCAGTTACTTCCAATGTATTCACTGTTCTGCTATTATTTAAAGCTCCCAAGTAGATATCAATTAAATTTTTTATATCATTATCTATTTTAGACCTTAAGTGTTAAAACGTCATTAGATATAATCGATTATATTTAAAACACCGTCCAAATTATATATGTAAGTGTTATATCGACAATATGATATTGAAAGTTTTTATTTCACAGAAAATCAATTTGTTATGTAATTTGTATCAAGGGCACATCAATACACATCTTTTGACGAGTAATTTATATATATATATATATTGAGAAAAAAATAATGCATGAATAATGAGATTGCATTTATAATAATGAACTATTTTTTAATTAGTTTGGTATTAGTTTGGTATTATTTGTGTTAATATTACACCTCATTACGGATTACTCAAGTATTATTTAGTGCAATATAAATATATTTATCTTGGTGATATTAGATTACGTCGAAAATTTTATTTAAAATATTATTGTTTTTAATGCCTTTCGATGGTTGTATATTTATTATTATTTGTTTGGTTCGTAAACATTTTTCGGGTATAAGCAATTTGAGATTTAACTAAATATGATTATAAAAGTCTGTTTTTATTTTATAACATATGAAGTGGGAATATAAATTTAATTTAAATGATATCAACTTATAAAGTAATGATAAAATTTAATTAACGTTTTTTAACTTCTTGAAATATGTAATCAAATGATTACATAAAATATTTTAAAATGCTATTAAATTGTCAAGATACTTAACTGTATTATAAATGANAATTGGGTTTAAAATTTATAAATTTAATTTAAATTATATCAACTTGTAAAGTAATGATAAAATTTAATTAACGTTTTTTAACTCCTTGAAATATGTAATCAAATGATTACATAAAATATTTTAAAATGCTATTAAATTGTCAAGATACTTAACTGTATTATAAATGAATACAAATTATTGTATAATTGTGTTTAAAAATATTAATGTTGCAATATCAATAAGCAGAGTTTGTATATTTAAATCAAATTTTCATTACACTTTTAAAACGTGTATGTAACTGTCAATACTTAATTGAATATAATAACGTTCAAACGTTTTTATCATAAAAAGTTCTTATATTTCTAGATTTAAATAAAAAAATTATGATACAATTGGTAAAAATATTTCTATTTTTTTANTGTGTATATAACTGTCAATACTTAATTGAATATAATAACGTTCAATCGTTTTTTTTATCATAAAAAGTTCTTATATTTCTAGATTTAAATAAAAAAATTATGATACAATTGGTAAAAATATTTCTATTTTTTTAACACAATTAGTCAAATTCGTGATTTATTCGTTGGCTTAAAATGTTAACATGGCGTCTTGAAAGTAATAAAATGTGTTTTATAGTTTGCTTTTTATTATTAATAAAACAAAACAAATTTCATTTGGAAATTCGTAAAATTCTTATGAATCATAATGTTATGTTAAATATTTTCGTAGTATTGACATCCAAATAATAGTAGTTTGGACAAGTTAATGAGTTAATAGCAAGTACAATTTTGTAAAATATTACGGATTAAGTCGATATCGAATTTTGCATTTAGAGTCTGACATTGACATTTATTGATTCCATTATAAATTATTCCAAGTCGTTCGGGACTTGAATATTATATCATAGAATTTCGGACTTCACAAGAATAATTATGCAATATCTATATGAATTTTTTTCAATCAATTTAAGAACATCCAAGTTAAGCGACACACGAACCGTTCATTAAGCTGCATAATATATTATTATGTTGGCGTATAAATTACAATGACTTAAACTGGTCTATATAGGCATTTCCTATTGAACCGGTTTTTTTACTTGACAAGTTTTTTTTAAAAACCTAATGGTCACACCTCTGTTTACTGTTAAAAATTAAGAAGTTTTCATCAGGATTTGTTGACATTTTTAAAAAGGATATTTTAGTGATAATAGTATATTCACGATTTTTGGCCTAGTACTTGACCTCGACAAAATATTTGTCATATTCAATGTATTTAATCGGAAATAGACTTTCGTGAGTGAATCACCACAGTTATGTATTACCAATTGATTTAATGTATATAATTACAAATAATAGGATTAATACTTTTAACGGTGACGTCATAATTGATACACGTGTTTTTTTTACACCTGTCATGAATAAGGAACTATTCTGACGATGTGCTACGGCGTGCTAAAAATAATAATTAGTATTTTATTTATTGGATAATAAGTATAGTGTTTAACGTTCCTGATTAATGTTGTTTATATGTGCAAATATTGATTTGTAAATCTTTGTTGCAATTTATATGCAATTCATTATATTCATTGTAAATGGGATATTTAATTTATTTAAGATTTTCTTTTTGGTGTAGAAACTAAAACTACGCATTATTCTAAACTTATGTTTTTATTTTTCTATAGCTATTAAAACTTGTATTGAATATTTTAGAATTTATTTCAATAATACCAACTGATATTAATTGAAGTTGAGTCTCTAATAGTGTTGAAAGCGATTATCTATATTTAAAATTAATTGATTAATTAAATGAGTCCTCTATTTGAAAGCCAAATGTTTACTGTATAGCTACTTAACTAATAGGTTATTGAATACATAAGTGTTGTGTTTCAGGGTTGTTATTTAGAAAATTAAACCTACGATAGCGTAACACGAATTCAAATACATTTTTTAGTTAAGTAAATATGAAAATTATACAAATTCCTTGCGTATACCTACTGTAAACAACTAGATATCTGAAATTTTATAGTCTCACTACGACTATATCATTGTCCTATAGATTTTTATTATTTTCTAGGCACAAAACTGTAACTATATATACTATATAGTACTTATTGCTTTTTGTATAATCTTTTCAATAGAGCGATACATAGACGAAGAGATGCTCTTGCGCGTACAATGTTCGTTTTTTTTTTATTTTTGTGCACCCGGCCACAATAGGTTTCTATTATTCGATCGTTCTACACGACTCTTCGTTCATTAACCATCCACCAAGCCCAACTGCTGTCCTCCGAAGACTCGTCTAGGTACACTTTAGTCTTTCTTTTTTCTCATTTCGCACCTGTCTCGATTTTTCACGCATGCTCATCCGTAAATAATGCGCTGGTTGTGCTTACACCGCGCGTTATAAGCACCGATAACATACTTCCCTTTTTACCTTCGCTTTAAACGATTTCAGACTTCAGAAACATGTATAAAACGTAACTTATTGTGTCTGTGTTAAAAGTTTTATCGTCTTATCAAAGTTTGTTTCGGCATAACATTTCCAGTGAATCGGTGTTGGTCGTGTTTGTGTAAATGTGGTACTCGAGTTCGTCTACTCACTGAATGACTTAAAAAGAAGTATTATAAGTTATAATACCCAAATTTATATGAAATATATCATTGTAAAACCATGTAATTTATATTCCGTTGTGCAGTGCGCACCGGCAATAAAACATGTGTTTAATACACTGTAGGTGCTCGTTTCCTTAATTATATTACTGGGATTTTGTTTTGTATACTGGATAATTAAATATCAATTTTCTACGGAGAGTCCTTTTATGTTTTTGTTTCGAGACCGCGTAAATTCGATGACCGTGGTTACACAAATTGGCTTCTGTACATGCTCGCAGGTTATTCAATTAGCCCGTCCACTTGTTTTTTGTCATAATTGAATTCGGTTTTTCTACCTTAAATGTATATCTTCTAGATGTATCTAACGTTATTACATTATACGTGTCGTTATGGTGCTCTTTTTTTTATTGCGCATGTCAGATTTTTGTACAATAAATGCTCGTTAAAAAGTAGCCTTGTTCTAATTTATTTAAAATACATAATATTGTACAGAATAAATCGTGACAGCGACAAATTATTTAATTTTTTTAAATCATTAGAATTGTAATTTAGATATATGATCCGATTTCTCGGTTACTCGGAGTTTAAATTGTATTTTTTCTCATAGTGTAATTCGTTTATGTGATGTAATTATTGTAACTATCTGACTCGGTTTTCATGAAATTGAGTTTTCAACGGAGCCCTTTTAGATTTTTCGTTTCGTTAAATTTTACCACTGAATGCGTTCCATTTCATTTGCAGTCGTTTTGGCACTCGTCCGGCACATGACGTATATGCTCGACTAGACAGTGCTGTTTTCTCTTAAACTTTTTTGTTAAATTCATTTTCTTATTTTCATACGCAGTGTGTGCATTAGCGTTTAGCTTTTGAATATCTATCTTTGATTTTTGTAACGTTTCACTTGAAAAAATGTTCTTGCCCAACTCGTTTATTGTTTGTGTGCGGTCTACATTTAGTAATCATGCAGACACAATCATATCAATAATAATAATAATCGCAACTGAGTAATAACGATTTTTTATTTTTAACTTTCAGACGATAGCCAAATCAACGCCGTGACGACGCACAGACATTTAATACAGTGTATATACACGCTCGTGCAGAGGTAAGACATGCATTATTCAGTCATACGATTTCCGCATATTGTTAGTCGAGTGCAGGCAGTGATGTGTGTTATTGTGGCCCATTGATCTTGAAAACGTGCCTGGCTGTGCGTAATTAGACGATCTATGAATTTCACTTATTGTAACTTTTGTTGTACGCGTTGTGCATTTGTAAAAGAGATTTCACTTTGGGTCGGTGGTACGCGCAACTTGTGTTGTTATATTATTTATATTGGTTACAAAAATCCAAGTACAATGGACCAAACGAATTGTCGCATCGGCCGGGGACGTGTTTCAAACCGTTACCAAACGTTTCAACGGGGGCCTTTTTATTGTGACACGCTGTGATAATACAATTCACCAACTCTTTTAAGCATTTATTATTCTGTCTCTCTGCCGTGTCTTCACTCGCTTTAACCTTCAGCAGGGAGTGAAAACATAATTCATAATGCCAGTTAAGTATTCCACCGGATTATTTTATTTTCATTTAATCGAGGGAGACTCTTCGCGTGTAATCACAGCGAGTGTACCGTTTATTGTTACACCTGCTCCTCGCGTCCTACGCGGGATGCTGTTCTTTTGTATCCAACGACGTGGTATAACCGTTGATTTGTTCAAGGAGACTGTGTATATGTTTTCAGAGATATCCCGTCCAAAGTCTCATCTGTTTAACCATGATATGATCCAACAGTAGCGACCCTACTGAGACTTAAACACTGTCAAATATATATATATATATTATAAATTTATCACCACCATACGAAATCGACTTGAGGCTCTAGACCGTGTGGTTTAATCGGCAGATCATGATTCTATTTACAGCTACTCCGCACACAATTATCATGGGACGATTTTCAAGTTATTATGTTTTCGTAGTCGTTTTTTCCTCGTCGTATATAATAATTATTATTATTATTTCGTTGACGTCCGTCGTGGAGGACAAAAGGATTGAGGGGTAAAAAAGTAACGTGTCACCATTGAACAATGTCTAATTGCGCGGAATACAAAGTTCCGTTTTAGGAAAACTCCAGTGTCAAACAAACTGTGCACGTGTGTGTGTAAGCGCTATGAATACGCTCTTTCGCATTGTAGTTACGGACATTGTCTTAGCTGGATGATAATGCAGTTTAATAAGCAGCTTTGTCCCTTATCAGCTGTACCGTGTTTAATTCATCGAATCTCTCATTTTTATCTAGTTTATATGTAATACACGCGATAAAATATTCCCTTATCCCTATGCCGTTTTATGAAACCAAATAACTTTTCGTGTATGGAAAACATATTTAATTGATTTTATCAAGGTTATTGCGTACGTCCAGAAACCTCGGTCGTTTATTTGTTTTTTTTTTATTAATAATAATCGTGTTGCATTCTTTGGTTCAATTTATTAACACAAACGATCGTTTGTTCATGTACGAGATTATATGAAATTCCTAGATTATAACAATAATTATATTAACATAGTTTGTTACTGGTCTTACTCAGACAACTGTCAACGTTTAATCATGATCGTAAACTCCTTTTGAGTTTCTGCTGCGCATTATGAATTATAATTATTTTGTCTAATGGATATTTTCCTACTAATTTTTTAAAAGTTCATATTATTTATTAAACGGCTTAGGTCGGACGTCAGTATAAATTTTTGTATTATCGTGTACTGAGTAAAATAATACAAAAATTTATAATTTGGCGTAAATAATAATCTGTAAAAAAAAAAAAAAAAAATTTTACTATTAATATTCGTGAGTGAAATACATGAAAATTTGCATGAATATTCCGGGGCTATTAACATAATAATATCAAATGTAAGATTTTTGAAAAAATTCGTGCGCAATGATGTGACCAACTGCTCAGCATCCACTTTGGTAAGCGACGGTTGGTTGTAAAAAAAAACGCGTCACGATCGTTCTCCACCACCACCTGCACACAGTCATTGCACCGTAGTTTGTATGTGTACAATGGATAAAACTGGTTTGGATGCAGAAGCCGCTCTTGTGTTCGGATGTGTATGTTTATATACTATGTGCAGTGACCGTTTTGTCCTTTATTATTTTCCTTTCCCTACTCCTCAAGACCGAATTGTATAGCGCAGCGGTTGACGGTTTTTTGTATAGGTTGCCACCATTTTTTTCTTCCAGACTCGATGTTTTAGAATACGAATACCTCGTATAAATTTTACGACGTGGAAAAAAAAATTTAGTAGTAAAAATCATATGGTTGTATTGTCTTAAAATTATTTATGCAACACAAGCGATTTGTGTATTATAACGTATCGTTTTTTTCATTTGTATATGAATTTTAAAAAATCGTTATCATTGCTGGTAGATCCTAACATACAGTGCATATTGTGTTTTTCAGCTGGCCATGCTCCGGTTTCACATCACCAAACAATATATAATAAATAAATAATAACCATCCAATATACATTATAAGCATTATATGAATAAAGGATAACCGTAAATCTCAGTTTCCCCATCGACTAGGCATAATAATTAATTGCATGCGGGTGTTGTATGTGGTGTTTTATCGGATTGAACGGCGGGAGTATAAGACATCGTTTAAAAAAACATTCCCTCTCGTAGGATTGCTCTTCAAGTGCATGCTTATCACTTGTTAATTACCCTATAATAATCGAAGTATTGTATCGATTGAAATACAAGGACTCCTTTTGTCTCCTCGGGGTACACACTCTCCGAAGGGGAAGAACAAAACCAGTTTGACAGTGTCTACACGCTATGATCCGGCACACGCTGTTTACTTAATACGAGAAACCAACCACTGTTAAAAAATGGGTTGTACAACTACTATGTAGTTTTATTTCAGTTTATCTCAAACAAACCGGTAATATTTTCAATTATCAGGGACGTTGGATTCAACCATACCCGGTGGCAACAGTGGCGTTCATATACATCAGATCATTTTGTGATATTTTTATGTGACAATTTTGATTCGAGATAGCGGTGAAAAATATTCCTTAATTTAACAGCCCTTAATTCTCGCAGTGTGTAATTATCACTTTGTTACGCTACATTATACCAACCACAATTGAATCGTTTGAACTTCAACCATAGTGTTGTATTGTTATTTTAATTGTTGGCGTTTTTAATGAACCGTTTATTATTGTACTGCATTACACATAATCGAAGTAATAATAGTAGACTATGTTATTTATTCCAACTATCTATTTCATACAATTACAAAAACCGTATTATAATGTGTGTGTGTGTGTACATGTTGTGTTACTAGCCAAGTCACGATGGTAAATTCGCACTCGTTTGAATCGCCGGCTATACGTAATAGATAATAATCAAATTTGTATGTGTATGTATAAAAATAAAAATTAACTTATACATTGCACTTGGCTATATCGAGAGAAAAAGTAAATTTTTCAGTAAATTCGTTTGAATTACTACTTTAATTCTCAGTTTTATTACGATTGTAGTATTTTTGTGTGTTGGAAAGTAAATACTACGTTCAATTTCTTTGTTAATTAATAGTTATTTAATTTAATTACAATTGGAATTACAAGGACAGTATAATAAAAAACAGAGTTAATTATTAGAATTGCTCTAGTAGATCGCACAGGTGTGTTATGTAAATAATTAAAAAATAATAGATTTTCACGCTGTTGTTGGCTTATAAAAAACGTTTGTGGCGGTCAATATCGTTGCGTACACGCACTTGGTAGTAGTTAACTCAACCGACATCAATTTATGAGCAATGTACATGCTTGTTTTCTGCTTATTATTTAATTGTTTCCCTTTTCCATACTGAAATCGTGTTCATGTACGGCATATTCAAGTAATTATCTCCGCGTACTGTGTGCGTAGCTTATGAATTATAATGTAATAATATTGCCGTGATTACCGTTACACAAGGTATCCTCTGTCGGCAATAAAATGAATAGAAACAATAATAGAAACTTGTAAAATAATAGACCCGTGTCGACTTTTGCGAGGGTTATTGATCTTCGACATTCGTGTTTTGTCTATTGGGTTGTTGTCCGTTTTTACATTGTGCGTTATCATCATATGTCGTATTATTACACATACTGTGTAGGCTCTCCAGTATAATAATAAACCCAACTGGGCTCACCCGTCGATCGCGTTGTTTCGGTCGGGTTCGCCGCTATGCATCCCAACCTAATTAATAATTTTGTAAAACGCGCTTATAAACACCAACGGCGTGGAATTGTGTCTTTCAATTGTCAAAACATAACGTGGTACACGATGATCCTTGTACGCCGCCGCACTTGTATTGTTTTCGTGCTGTAAACGTGCCAGATTGGACAACGTCCATTTTTGATATGTATGCTCGTGGCACGTCACGTTTACGGTAGCGTTGCGAACGCCACACGATTGCCCTATAAAAATGCTATTCACAAGCGAACACTCGAGCATTGTAAACCGTCGCACGCGACGAGCGCTCAGTGGTTACATAGAAAAATACCGAAATAATAGTTGTAATTCGTCAGTGCGTTAGCCGCCAATGCCAACTGTCGTTTTTCTCGTAGAGCGACCGGAGACGTCGCCTAGAGCTCAGGCTGTACACTCCGACCAAGCATAGCCAACGGTGAGATATTACCTACCAGATAAACAACAAACGGAGAACTCAATGCGCACATTCGGTTTAACCCTCGTGAGAATCATGGAAAAATAAATAATTATCGAATACCGAACAATCCTATTACCGATTTAATTACCATTCCAGAATAACCCACTCGATATTCGCCAGCAGTAGTAGTTAATTTTTGTTGCCTGTAAGAACCTTCGGCTTTTTACGGGCTAAGATTAATATAAATCTCTTCAGACTGTGACAAGTGTTATAAATCTTCCCACGTTTAGTAAAACGAGTAATTACCTACGATTTTTAACTATCGCATATTATTGGTTAAACGTGAAAAACCATTAGAGGAGTCATAAACTTTAAGTTGTTCGGCTGCGCAATCTGTAATTGTCAGCTGCTTCTCTGATGTCTTTTAGACACGCGTGTTTACTCACAA